GAGGTGCTGGTGTTGCATGAGTTGGTGCATTCAGCTGAAGACCTTTGGGATTCGGTTTTTGCTGGGTGCACATTGCTTGCAATATACTTGAGATCTCGATGGGCTGATTTACAGTGCTGCGAGGCTTTGGAGCTGGATTTTGATGCGCAGGGTGTTCTGTGTTTTGTGGACTTGGTTACCTCCCATCACAAGTCTATGCAAGCAAGACAACACAGACATCAATTTCTTCAGATGTCAGGCCCTTGTGTCGGAGTAACGGGGCGACAATGGGTCGAAGTTTGGCTGAAGAAGTGCGAGGCGGTCAATTTCACCCCTTGCAAGGGGGGTTGGCCCGTGATGCCCGCCCCGGATGCGGCTGGAAGACCGACCGTAAGGCCCCTGTCGTCGGGGGAGATGTCTTCCTGGATCAGGAAGCTCCTTCCTGGTGCTGCCGAGGAGGGCAGAAAGCTTTCGAGTCACTCTGCAAAGTGCACGCTGTTGTCCTGGATGGCGAAATTTGGAGCGCCACAAGATGTGAGGGCCTGTTTGGGCTATCATGTGGGGACCAGCAAGACAATTTTCAGGTACAGCAGAGATGCGGCCGCGGGGCCGCTTTATGAATTGGTGAGGATGTTATCATGGGTCAGGGATGGTTGGTTTTATCCCGACAACACAAGGTCCGGGCGCTTTTCTTCTGAGGACGAGGACGAGAAGGCCTGGTGGGAACAGGTGCGGGATGACGATGTGCAGGCTGCGCAGCAGGAGGACATGGAGGCTGGGCAGAGATCCCCGTTCTCCTGGTCACATGACCAGCCTGAGGATTCAATTTCGTTCCCAGATGGTATTGCCTGGGACCAGGATCTCGAAGGTGTTTCGGAGCCGGCTGCAGTCGCGGCGCCCGCAGACGATGGTGGCGATGCGAACAGTTCTGCAGCTGAAGGTGCCTCTAGCTCCTCGGAGAGCGATGGCAGCGGTGCTGGGCCTAGGCCGCCTAGGCTTTTGTACCCTCCCACTGCGCCAGCTGGAACGTCCTTCACCAGGCATCTGAAGTCGCGGGTGTGCCATCTTAAGAAAGATGGCTATGTCAGGAGGCTCTTGTGTGGCAGGCCAATCACTCAGGCTTATGGGTCGCCAGGGCTCATGAGGTACGACACCGGTGTGTGTAGTCAGTGCTTGAGGGCTGCAGCGGCTGACCGATGACTTCGAATTGTCCTGTCCATGACCGGTCGTGAAAACGAGTGATCGCGCAGGCTGGCAGTTTCTTCGTGAGTGCATGTTCACATGTCCTGAGTAGGCAGTGCTTGGATGTTTGCATGTCACGTTGAGTGTCTGAGAATTTTGGAGTGCGCTTACCTGTTCGCGGAGAGTGTGCTCTCAGGGACGGAGGCAGGGGGAGTGCTTTCAAATCACGTGTTTGCTTCAGTCCGCACTGCTTGTCATTGCAGCTGAGCACAAATTTTCTTAGGCAACATTGCATGCTTTGCTGTGAGCGATGGCACTCATTGACAGCGAAGCTTCTTTGAAACAGAGGTGCCAGCCAATCGAGGGCTCGGATGACCTGTTTGAGTCATTGAAGCAGAATGGTGTGCAGTCGCTTAGGCAACTGGCTTTTGCAATCGGAAGCCCGCAAGTTCCCCCTACGGAAGAGGCTCTGAAAGAGTTGACGGGGAAACTTTATGGTTGCTCGGAAGCAGTTCCCCCTACGGTGGGGCAGATCGCAAACATTCGCATGCTAATCTTCGAAGCGTCGACATTGGTCGTCGCCCAGCTTCGAGCCCAGGCCACTGCAGATGACACTGATCTCACAGGTCGCAAGCTTCCACATGTGGAGAAGCAGGCGAGGTT